ACAGACGTTGACAGTGGACTGCTGAAAGCACAGGAGTGGAATTCAAACCTGGAGCCACAGGGAAGCAAGACAAACACTAGGACGAGGGAGTCAGGGAAGCCTCTAGGAAGGTGCTAACACAGACACTCAGGCCTGGGAAGTGAACAGATTTCAAGCCAGCAGAACGTGAGGGAGGCATCGGGACTTGGAAATCACAAGCAAAGGGGGCGGGGGGTGAGGGCCACAGTAAAGATACAAACCACAGCAGACGGTGAGACTGAAAGCAGCATAGTAAGTAGCTGTAGATTTGGTTTGTCTTACTACTTTCTTAAGAAAAAGTGGTAAAAGACGAGGAAGAAGAGGTAGGAATGAAGTCAGAGGCTCCTCCAGTGCTCGAATACAGCAGCCTGAACCTAGTGCGCAGGAACAGGCACTCCCCCAGGCCCCCAGCATGGCAGCCCAGGGCCATTAGGAAGGTGGATGGAAGAGAGGGGTGGAGAGAGCCCCGTAATTACAACAGCTGGGGGCTCGCAGCTTGAGAGGCACCGGTGATGAAAAACCAGAAGAACAGGATTACAGGGATAGAGCCACAGGATTTGGCAACTTCTGGATCTGAGAGAAGTAGAAATGCAGATGCCACAGGCCCTCTCAGGTTTACATCTTAGGCTGCTGAACAGATTACAGAACAGCAGGAGACACAGGTGAAAAAGCAGCAGCTTTGAAAACCAGCAACAGCTCCAACCAGGCTGAGGGGTGAGCACAGGCCCTCTACTGTGCAAACCCTAGGTACAACAGAAAGATGGCGAAGTAAAGGATGGACGTGCTTCAGAGCTGGAAAACAGGAATGGGCACAGAAGGACGCAGAAGAAAAACTAATGTAAAAAGTATTAAATATATAACAAAAAAGTAGAATTACTCCATAAAACCAAATGCCAGTCTCTGAAAACACCCATGAAACACACAGGCCCACGGGACGTGTCCTTGCAGCGGGTCAGTAGGGGCATTATGGACTCTGTAGCCATGAGCCCAAGGAACCTCTTCTCTCCAGAGGTGGTGCTTTGTTACAGTAATGGAAAGCGGATGAATACAGATGCCACTAGCCATCTTGGGGCCTCCTAACCCTAACCCAAACCTCTCCCACTACAGCCCATGCAGCTGCAAAGTCACAAGCAGGCAGCTAGAAGAAACCTGAACAGAGGTCACATAAATATACCAGCAGCAATCCACCAATCGCAATTTAAAAAGACAGTAATGGTGTCTTGAAACCTGGGTTATACGGTGGCAATGTGAACGGAAGAGGATGGGAATACCCTCTGCTTTCCTTCTGGGGCGGCACAGTGAACGAGAAGCAGTGCTGGGCTTCCCCGCAGAAGCGAGAGTGCACCGCTGCATTTTCACTGCGCCAAAGGGACAGCCATAGCAACAATACAACCCATTTTTCTACAGGCTGGGCCTACAGGGCTTGCTTCGTGCAGGCCCTCAAAAGGCTGCCACCCCTAGCAGATCTCGGCAGACCCACAGACCTCCCACACCAGACCATGGGGGAGCACACCCTTGGGCCTGCAGACACAGAGGACTCCTTCCCGCTCAGCTGATGGGCAGCAGTCTGTGTTCTCCTGACCACCAGTGCCCACTGAACACTGAACAGCTACACATACAAAGCATGTGGGTAGCCCAGACCTCAGGAACGGACATGAAACTCCTTTCAAGGGAATTCAGAAAGAGTACACTTAACCCCAAAACTTCCTAAGCAGAACTAAGAGATAAGGTGAACAGCAGGCTGCCAGTTTGGTACGACCACAAGGAAATCAAGCCACAGAGGAAGCTGCCCTAATGTTCTGGTCCACAGACTCAGACACCAGTGATATGAGCAGGGGGCTACAACACCCTGTGGGCTTTCTGGTCAGTTCCTACTGGACAACTGCAGCACACAGCTAGACCTGCAGATGCAAAGACAGGCCTTTGGCCCACTGTCAGACAAGCAGCTCTGCTGGGCATAGTGGTGCACATATGTAATCCCAGCACTCTGGGAAGCTGAGGCAGGAGGATTATGAGTTCTAGCCTGGCCTGGACAGCTTAGTAAGATCCTCTCATAAAATTAAAGGGCATAGTAACAGCACTAATAGCAGCAACATAAAGTGCCACCAGCACCATGTACCAGGCCAAGACGAGGCACTAACGACAGCCCAACTTCTGATAAGGACTCCTCGGTGCCACCCAGTCACTTCAAGCTGGAGCCGCAGGCCAGTGCAGAGGGAGGAAGGCCCTACACAGCTGCACAGCACGGCGCCCTCCTATGAAGGCTGACTCCATCACCACTGCTGCTGCAGGGCAACCAACAAGGGAGGGCACAGACCAGATGCTTACCCCACACCAAGGTCTGTCCTCCCAGCCAAACTCCCATCTGAAGGGGTGGCACCTCCCAGGCTCCCTGGGACACACAGCAGCCTAGACACACTGCAGTAGTGGGGTAGCAGTCTACTCCCAGGACCCTCCTGCTCAGGTGCTACTTTTCATGATCCCAAAGGGTCAGCAATGGGCTGAACAGGACACAAGGGATCTGAGGGACCAGGGCAGGGACCCCAGCAGACATGCACCCCTGCCACCTCCCATTTCCCCGCCGCTATGCCAGGCAGGTCCACACACCATCAGACGTGCAGGGAGGGCCAGGGCTCCCTCAGTTCTGCTTCTTGGAGATGCTTCCAAAACTAAAGACAGCTCAGCACCTGGAGGCACGCTAGCCACAGGAGTGTTCGTGGTGATGCCCAGGGGACCTTGGGAGATTGCTGGGGACAAGCATCCTTGGTGTCACAATGCAAGGATCCGAAGGGACCATGGCCCGGTGCTCATCATGCATGTGCTGGAACTATACTGTCCCTCCGTCCACGGTCACCACCCCCTCCCCTCTGCTGCCCAGTTCTTTTCTGAGGTCTCCCTTTCAGACCAGGAAGCAGCCCCAGCGGGATGCCCACTGGAGCAGGCTGGCAGAGAGAGCGTGGTGCCTCCGGGGACGCTGCTGCCTGGAGCAGGAAGCTAAGCCACCAGCATGGGGTATCTGTGGTGCTGACAGGAAACGGGGAGGACAGGGGCAGTGTCCACGGCAGCAGCGCCTTCCTGTGTCGTGTAACTCACGCCTGCACCAACACAGACATAATATTCCTTTCCATACACACTGAAAGGGAACCACAAACAAATCCGAGTGGCTTCCTGTGCAAAGGGAGGAGCACAGGCACAGATGGTGAGGGAAAGCCGACACACAGCACACGAGCCGGGGCCTCACCGAACACAGAGCGAGGGCCTGTGTGGACAGAGGTCCGACTCACCGCAGCTGCTGAGCCACTGCGCACACAGACAGACAGGGCCAAGCCTGTCGCTCCGTGGACAAGTCACTTACTGCTGGCCACCAATAGGAGCTTATCTGAATAATCTTTCCCATTAGGATATTTAAACCTTCACCTGTGTGCCACCAGGGGTCCGTACATCCAAGTGCCTGGGGAGAAGTGCTGTGACTACTGAGACAGAAGGGACGAGAACATCAAGGGACAGACTGACAGACAGACAGACAGCTAGGAGGGCTCTGGGTATTCACGGGGAAATCTAACACCCAGCCAAACTAGAAAAGAAATGATGAGACGGAGAGTGGCGGGGCACACCTGTATTCTCAGCACTCTGGGAGGCTGAGGCAGGAATAGCACAAATTCAAGTCCAGCCTGGGCCAATTAGCAGTTTATCAAGATGCCGTTTCACAACAGAGCAAGGGCTGGGTGGGGAGTAGAGCTCAGGGTAGAGGCCCTGAATGCGATCCACAGTACCACAAAAAGGGAAAAGGAAGATGCTAGAAACATTCATGGCCCAATAAGGAGAGACGCCCACAGGGCTGCTCTGGAATTGACAGAAGATGCTGAGATTGTGCATGGGGAGCCAAGAGGTCCCCTGAGACAAGAGGACACTCAAGTGTGGCTCTCAGGGAGCCACGGAGTCAATAATGTGAAGGGCAAGGTGCTGATGTACTGAGCTGCTCTGAAGTTCGGAAATGTCACTGCGAGACATAAAGTCAAAAGAGGTGCTTTAGAAGTGACTGCTGAACTCACAAGAGGACGACAGATAAAGAAAGACTAAAAACATTTCAAAGATAAAAGCTTATGCAGGACCATTATTTAAGAGTAGCAGAGAAAAAAAACTGGGAAGGCATAAAGAAGTGAATTAGAAAAGCACAGGATCATGGAAAACGAAAGGGTGACAAGAAGGAGAAGGACAGGTCCTCTAGCAATCAAAGGATCTGAGCCCTGAGACACGGTATCCGCGGGAGAGCAAATCCAGCAGCTGGCAGCGGACGGAGGACAGGAGGACAGGTGGCAGCAGGGACGAGGCGGGAGGAGGGGCTGGGCCTGCAGCGCCCAGGCTGCCTCCCTAGTCTGCGTGGCCTGTGAGACACCATCCCTGAAGGAGCAGCCTTCTCATCTAGGAATCCCAGCATCCCGGTGGGTTTTAAAATGAGCTTGGCTCCCCGAAAATACCTCCCAGGAGCAGCTCCCAGGGGTCAGGAGGCCAAGCGGGCGGGAAAGGCTGCTTTCTCCGTGTGCACCTTACGGCAGCCCCTACTTCCCAGAGCTGCGTTAGGACCACTGGGAAACAGTGGTGCACACCTGTGCAACCCCAGCGTCCTGGGAGCCTGACAAACATGGTGACCCAGCCAAGATTGTATCTCAAAATTTTTTTGAAAAAGTCTTTTTCTCTTTTGTTTTTAGCTTTTCAAAATTTTTGGTGCTGAGGCCTGAATCCAGGGCCTCCCAGTTACTAGACAAAGCATTCTACCATGGAGCTAAATCCCAGACCTCCAAAATAAAAACTTCACACAGCGTGGGGGTGTGGCTGGGTGAGCCCCCCCCCCCCGTACCCCGCCCCCAGGCTGTAGCATTCCTGTACACAAAGCCTGAAGCAGCTCCAAGCTGCAGCAGCATACAGAAAGGCTCCTTTCATTCTCTGAGGAAGGACGTCTCCACCTAACATCCTCTCCTCACCTTGGAGATGTGGGTCCTGCAGTGCTCTTCCCGTCCTCTTCAAACAGCTTCGACCTATGCTTCCATCTCATGAATTCCAGGACAGTATTAAACTGATGCATATTTTCACAAATCTGGGATAGGAAAAAGAATTTATTTAAGAAGGAATTAGCATTTATCAGAATAACATGTAAAACCAACACTAAAAGCATTTTATGTGTAAAATTACAAATTTTCAAAGTCAATGAAAAGTTTTTAAAAACCCATCACTTTACCATTTTCCCAACCTCTGACCAAGCTAAGTACCCAGTTAGTTCTGTGGGGAAAAAAAGGAATCACCTGTAAAATCTCCACATTAGCTTAACATTTTGCAGAACAAAACACTCATCTAAATTTGGGGGAAAAAAACCAAGGGCTGCTGGGAATTTACAACTCTGTAACATTCAGGGTCCTACTTAGGCAAAAACACATTTAGTACTTAGTATCCCTTTCCCTACTTCTAAATCACGAAGTGTCATAAGCTAGTTTTAACTCATCCCAACGATTACTTGTAATACTGGAGGATTTGGTCCAATTACACAGGATAGATTTACGTGAATTAGTATCATCATGACCCTGTTGGCTCATGTGACAAACATTTACAAATCTAAAAAGATGAAAATGATTAAATTTTTAAATTTAATTTTAAATTAATTTACTATATTATATATGGTCATTCTAAGGGATTTTTTAAAATTTCATTGAATATATCTTTTAACTAAAATTTCAAATTGCCAAGTATTCTGTTTCGTCATTTAAGGTCAATTTTTAAAAGCTAGCTGGGCACTGCCCACGTCCCACTGAAGGTCAGGTGGCTGTGTCACACAGAGGTTTCGTGTCCTAGCGGTAAGGACTGAACTCGTGGCGACGGGCAACCTGACTCGACCAGTGTACCCGACGGAGCCTTCCTCAGGACAGGCGTCTCCCCCAGGCAGACTGCTGCAGAGACCAGCTCGGCCTTTCCTGGTCCGCATGGCCCTGACCCTGAGAGCAGATAGGGTGCTTCATTTGCACCTCAGCGATCTAATGCACCAGCTCCCCACAAAGGACTAGAAACTCACAGGCCACCAAGAAAAACGAAACCTGGACAAGGGGGTTGTTTCTTGGTTTTTCTGTTGCCCAAGATATTCATATTCATAATCTTTTGTTTGTTTGTTTTTGCTTTTAGTGTTTTTGTTTGTTTTGAACCAGGAACCAAACTCAGGACCTTACACTTGCCAGGCAGGTGCTTATGTCACTGAGCTATCCCCAGACCTGTCATAATCTTAAAGAAGCTCCCTTAGATTAATTTAAAAATGCATTATGCTTCCGTTTTAGAAATGGCTTAACGATTGTTCACCAAAGCCATGCTTTGCCACGACACTATTCGTCCCTGTGGTGTGTGAAAGGACAGCGAGGAAGTGACCACTGTATTAAGCAAAATTCAGGTTAATCTAGTCACATAAAAGTAAAGACAGCCCGTGATAAGCCTCTGTTTAAATACGTAGGCAGGTCGTGGTGACATATGCACTAGGGAGGCAGATGCAGCAGGAGGACTGCTATGAGTTTAAGGCCAGCCTGAGCTACATAACGGGGTCAAAGCCAGACTAACTGCAAGACAGGCCCTTCTAAATAAATAAAATGAAATGAAAAATGTAAACACACGAAAGAATTTTCAACTATTCCATCTTCAAAGCTCAAGATGCAAGATTTTCTATTCTTCCTTTTGCACATGTACACTTAACAAACACCAGGAAACTTCCTTAAAAAGATGAGCCTAACAAGCTGAAGATACAGCTCCATTCAGTTCCACGGCACTTGATTAGCAGAGTTGAATCCCCAGCACCACCAAGGAGGGGAGAGAGGGAAGGGGAGCCTACAACATGCTAAGGAAAATCAAGTAAGGTTTTACTGCCTTCAAGGAAAACATGCTTCATAATTTGGTCTACAAATCCATTTTTTACGTACCAGACATAGTACCAATAAAGCTCAGAATCTCCACGATAGAATGCAACAGCAAACACACACCAGTAAACCGGCACATGCCTGGCATGGGACTTAGGATTTAGGCACCTGCAATGCTGCAAACAGCCTCAAACCACTTAATGTACAGTACCTTTTGCTACAGCTTTTAGCACGGTAAACTCCAGTTCAACAAACAAATGATGCTAGTGAAAACCAAACACTACATAAATGTAAGTAATATTTTCACCAGAGATTTTTGTCTCTGAATTTTTCAAGCACATTAATTGTAGAAAATATACTAAAGAGATAATTCTTTGAAAAAAAAACTCATGAACATCTTAATGACTCGGGATAAAGATGAAATCTTCACAAATACAGTCAATATTGTCTAATTCACAGCTGACATTAGCATTTCCTCAAAGCTAACTATTTGAAAATAAATATGGAAAGCTAATTTTAGTCCCACATGTCCTTTATAAAATAGCTTTTCCTCCCTACAGCCACACCACCCTAGACATGCCCCACCTCGCGGAGGCTGTGCAGGGTGAGGCCTAGTGAGTATCTGGATGAGACAAAATACTTTTTACTCTCATCAAAATACACACATTCCTCTTGGCTTTGGGGGGGTACTTTTTAAGACAGAGTCTCACCATGCATTTAACCTCCCAAGTGCTGGGATTACAGATGTGTGCCACCATGTCCTCTTGGTTTTTCAAATTATTAAAGTGGTTAAATTTTAAGCCACCAAGGTACTTTTTCTTTTTCTTTCTTTTTTTTTTTTTGGTGGGGGGGCCACCAGAAATTGAACTCACGGCTTCACGCTTGTCAGGCAAGCACTGTGCCACTGAGCTACCTCCCCGGCCATCAAGCTACTGTAAAGAGCACTGAGGACTGTGGGCAGCTCAACAGCAGGACGTCTACTTCGTGCATGAGAGGCACGGGCTTGGTCTCCAGCGCCGGAAACCTCACCAGTACAGAACCCATCAGCTTCAAACATCCACAATGGACATCGCAGTTATCTTTGACTGTGAGGTACTAGAATATCACCCATTGACTCCTACACTACATAACATTTGCTTCACAGAAAAGAATACAGCATAAATATGCTCTTATCTGGGTTGCAGTCAGGGCTTACAAGGGAATACACTTAATATAGGACATATAATTTATAAAAGTATTTTACAATATTCATCCAAAAAGGAGATTTGGCCATACACTAGAGACTCCAAAGAACCCAGCTGAGGGCCTGGATCCCATGGCAGTGTCCTGCATGAGTCCAGCTGAAGACCTAGCACCCACGGCAAAATCCCACGCGAGTCTATCAAGGACTTGCACTGGGAAGGCACAAAGGACAGCAGTGGGAGCTAGAAAGTCTGTGCAGCAGGGTGAAGTAGCTGTGGCAGCAGGCGAGGGGTCTGCGGTGCGTCCAGGAAGTGATACTCAAGGTAAGAACCAGAGCTCCCCCAAAGAGAGCCGCAGCCATCCTCAGTGACAGCGAGGACCCGAGCTCCTCTGATGATGAGAACAGCCGAGTTCATATCAGGAAACCAGCGTGACGAGCTCCTCCAGGAGAATCCACAGCAGTCTTCCCCTCCAGCTCTCCTCCTGTGCTGTGGGCAATGATCTTCAGGTGCCCTTCCTTCCACGCCCAGCACTATGCTGACACTACACTGTTACAAGGTAACCATTAGTTAATCCATCACGGTATGTAGTCTTTTTTGTTTGGTTTGGTTTTTTGAGACAGGGCCTCATTATGGAGCTCAGGATGGCCTTGAATTCACAGTGATCCTCCTGTGTCAGCCTCCCAAGTGCTGGGATTTACAGACATGCATCACCGCACCCAGCAACTCAGGCTTAAGCCAAAACTTATGAATACTCTTGAGTTTGTAACCAGCCTTGAAAGGGTAGTGGAACTGCTGGTAGGCAGAAGAAGGAGTGATGCTGAGTCTCCCACTCCCCGGCCCTCCGTCAGGTCTCCCCCTCTCAGCACCACAGAAAGCACCTGGACTCCCTACACTGCTTACTGTGTGAACAACACAGCTGGGTTTTCAAAACCCGAACAAAACTACAATTTATATTTTACAAACATTTCTGTTCGAATCTCAAAACAAAAGGCAGTACTGCTGTAACAGTAAAATAATGACACAAAATTTCAAAACAAGATGGGAGGAGAAATCAGATTTGAGAAAGAACCCTCTCCTTAAGTCAGTTCAGCAAGAACCGACTCCCGGAATCCGCTGGCTCCTCCTCCCAGGTGACTCTGGCCTGTCTTCAGCAAGAATCTGGTTGGGGAGGTTTAACCAAAACGCTGCCCCCACACACCCCAGTAATCTTCCATCCACTGGGCCAACCAGATCCTCCGCTCTGAAGCCCCTCCCTCGCCTCCCCCGTTTCTGGAGCCTTCTGCATCCTCTTTCCTCTCCTGCAGGAAGGACTCTGTTGCAATGGTCCCTGTGCCTACACGACGGCCCGTTCAAAGTCCTCCTTTACCAGATGTCACAGGCTGGTGGCACAGCTCCAAAGCAGTGTGCTTGCCTAGCATGGGTGAGGCCAAGGGCTCACCCCCAGCACCTCTAAGGAAAAAATAACCGAATAGCTTTTGCTTTAACAGTACTTGTCCCACAGAAATTACAATCTATTGCCACACAAAAATCTAAACATCTAGCCAGGTGTAGAGGCCACACTTGTAATCCCAGCACTCAGGAGGCTGAGGCAGGAGGATCATAACAAGTTTTGAGACTGGCCTGAGCCACAAAGTAAGCTCAAGACCGCCTGAACTGCATAGTGAGACTCTCTCAAAAACATAAAGATGAAGAAAGAATGGACGTCCCAAGGATTAGACTGTTAGAGAAAGCCAATTTTAAAGCCTCTTGCATTGTAAGATTTTACTTATTAAAGTTTTTAAAATGACAGACCATACAGATAAAAAATAGACTAATGGTTTCTGGTAACATCTTTGTAGCAATATTACTAGTTTTGTTTTTTGGTACCAGGAATTGAACTCAGGACCCTGCACTTGCCAGGCAGGCAATGGGCTGCTGAGCTACATTCCTGGCTACTATTTGTGTCCTAAGGCCACAGCAATCACACAAATCAACACACATGTTTAAATGGTAAAGAACTATTCTACACAAAATGTACCAGTGTCGAC